CTCTCTCTCTCTCCCTGTACCTTTCTGCAGGTAGCCTTGGCTCTGGAGCTCTATGTTTCTGGTGAGCAGTGACCGGCCACATCAACCAGCCCAGTGTTTGATTGTTTGTTGCTTTTCTTTTCTCTCTCCTCTATCCACTCATCCCAACCAGCCGAGGCAGAAGGCCGCCCACCAAGAGCCAGGGTCTGTCGGAGGTTTATTCCATTAAAGGGAGTTTTTCCTCCCTGCTGTTGCCAAGCACTGCTCAAGGGGGATTTGTTGGGTTTTGATAATAATAATGATAATAATAATAATAATAAATAATAATAATAATAGTCATAGTAAGGTCTAGACCTTATTATGTAAAGTGTCTTTTGTAGTGATTTGGTGCTATACAAATAGAATTTTATTGAATGACCTTGCACCTCTCTCTTTCTGTTGTCATCAGTCCATTGTCACAGTAGAAGTACGCCTACATACAGTAGTGTGTGCCTGTGCTGCATTTTTCTGACAGATCTGATGTTATCAGTTCCATGATGTGCAGTCTGTTTGTTCTCTTCTGATCATCAAAGCCGGCCCATGGCATAGGCCCAGGGCACCACAGAAGAGGACATTTTTAAATACTACTGTCACCGTTCTACTTTATTAAGGTGAAAAGTCCCACTAACATACTGACTACAATCACAACATATTCTGACAGTCTCCGGTTGATACTAACTGGAATAAGCACTGCCTGTGACCGTGATGTGACACAGAACTACTGCAGTTTGCAAGCCTACAATATGTCACTATCCTCCATATAGCTATTAGTGCATCATCTTGAGTCAAAAAAAAAAATGAAATTATCAGGTGCAGAAAGCAGAAAATGGCACAGAGAAGAGGAGCAAAAACAAAAAGAGTAATCTAGAGATAAGAATCACCACGATAACTGGTGCCAGTGATGTTTGATGTTTTTTTTCCTGGAGCTTATTTCTTAACTAGCCAGCTACCTACAGTAATTATCAGATTAGTGTCAGCTTAGAGAAAAATAATAACAAAGAATGACCTGTTACTTACATAAGGTCACATTGTCATAGAATATTTCACAAAGGGTTTATGACACACTTACACAGAAGGGAAGATTGCTGAAGAGTGAGGAAACAACATCCACTTATCCAGAAAGACATGAGTCATAACTTCTGCATTTCATGACTCAAGTAGAAAACAAGAGTGCTGTGTTGCTATTCTTTTAAGGAGAAAGTGTAATTCTTTTTCTAAGACAAAGCAGAATATCCTGAGGTTCCACATGTAACAGTAAACCTCACTATCAACTGCAGTGCAGTTGTGCGGTAGTTTTGGGTCTCCGCTTCAATGCAAATAATGTAACATTGTGCACGATATGGCTTTATAATAAATTAACCCACTGATGTAACTACCAGAATTGCCACACTCTAATGTTATTGCATAATGCATGAAAACATGTTTGTACTTCTATACTGAACGTACATTGTATTGTTATGTTACTATGACCTAAATATGTAATATAATATAACCTAAATTGCTCTGATTGTGTTTTTATTTGTAAATAAATAAGATTATTCTGGTAAAAATGGTGCATTTGACAATGTGTACTAGCATTAAATACAATCATTATGTCTCAAGTGCCAATCCTGTGTTTCAAATACTATCCATCCATTATCTATACTGCTGATTCCTGAACAGGGTTATGGGGGGCTGGAGTCAATCCCAGCTGACACTGGGCCAGAGGCGGGGCCCATCCTGGACAGGTCGCTAGTCTGTCACAGGGCTGACACACACACACTTACAAGCAATTTAGAGTCACCAATCAACCTAAGCTACATGTCTTTGGACTGTGGAAGAAAGCCAGAGTACCCAGAGAGAACCCATGCGGGCACAGGGAGAACATGCAAACGCTGCAGACGAAAGGCACCAGGTCGGGTTTGAACCTTCTTGCTGTGAGGTGACAGTGCTAACCACCGTTCAGCTGTGCCATCCTGATACAACTGCTACCAAGTCAAATTCTACACACTTGTGCATGTGGTGTCACATACTGTAGCTTTAAAGTCTGTAACTTAAAGGTACCACCAGCATGAAACTCCAGTCCACTCTGCTACCTTAGCACTTCTTCTCCCTGCTCCACTACGATCTGACACGCTCTGCCCACCTCTACAGATATTTGTCATTATGAAATTACAAAAAATGAGAATGCAACAAAATTTACAGATCATGAAATAATTAACCATTTCTGATTGTTAGAGGACAATGCTCTCCAACAATCGGTGCTAATATCTCTGCACTGCTGCCAGTACTGTTCAAGGAGGCTTCGACAGCACCTCTCCACATTAAGACAAGTTTTGTTTGCAACAAAAACTTAAAAAAAACATTACTCTAGCACCAATGAAATGTATCAATGATCCCCATTTAGCTGTCTTCTGATATAAAGGGCCTCTGTAACCCTTGAAGTCCTGTTACCCTTTTGTAGACTGCAAACCTCATATCCTGTACAGATACGCTGTGAGCAACACTGTTGGTGCAGGCCATGATAGCATGAGGGCTGTTGGCATCACAGCTGTGACATTCAGGCAGTTTGGTTCAAGTTATAGTAAATGAAACATGGAAAGAAAGAGGAAACCTGCAGCTGGTGTACAGAAGAGGAGCAACAGAAAAAGAGGGAAACTTTGCTGGCTGATGCTGCAAAGTGTGCAAAAATAAATAAATCTACTAAAGCAGCTTAGTGTGTGTGATGATAAAGTACGGAGCAACAGGGCAGGAGCATCAAAGGGGATTGAACGGGGAGCAGCTACTGTTTCTCTGACAGTAACACTGTAAAACTACTTGACCTACTGTTGACTTACAGTAAGTCACAATGTTTAAAGAAAATGCA